TTATTCTACCTATGAGTGTGAGACCCTGGAGTCCTGCAATTGCCATTAGACTCATTCCTCTAGCAGGCTACATGCGCTAATGAAGGGGAAAAAAAACTAATTATAATTCTCTAAATAGCTGTTTATTAATGAGTCATCTTTTTCCTTTTAACCTTGTAAGCTGCTTTGCTGGTTGCATCAGGCTGAACACACATTTTGCTTCATAAAACATCAAAAATAAAACTTTAAAGAGGAGGAGGCAAAGTAACACCTTAAGTGCAATGTTGGTATGTAAATCACTTTAAATATTTCAAAATTGCTCCATATAATTCTCAATCAGGAAAGACATTTACATCGTTTCATTTTCTTTGTACTGCTTTACATCTAATACCAGTACTTACTGAACATTGCTCCCTGGTTACCTATGGTCTACTGAACTACTAATCCAAAGTGCAACTGTATTTTCAACGTAAATTTTAAGTACAGTACGGAATTAAGAGTTGTTCTGTCAACATATAAAGGCATGGAAAATAGTCACTTATTTGTTCTTTCTGCCTAAACAAACCTAAATGCTAGAAGCAGAAAAAAAAATGGAATGGATTTATTTCACTATTTAATATTCCTTGGATTGTATTTTTGTATTTCCCATAGTTCATCAAAGCATCAATTGTCCCTGAGTGAATCCACAGACATAGAAATTGACATTTTGCCCTCCAAAGCTAATTTGGCAACTGCCAATTCCAATTTAGTTTTGAAATGAGTTCCAGGGGTCATGTTAGGATGGTGGTTTACAGCGAAGAGGGTGATTTTGATAAGGTTATCGCTGACTGAGAGCACACTAGGGGCTTGGGGACCATGCAGAATCGGACATAATTCCCAAGTAAGTGCTGCAGCTATTGCAACATCTAAGGACCTACTTCACACAAGATCATTTAATGTGGATCTAATATTCCAAGATTTTTTTTAAAAAATTGTAAGTTTTCAATTTTTTTAACAATTAAATTATTCTAACTTTAAAGCTATGCGGTTCTTAATTCAAACATATTCTTGTATTTTTACATAGCTCTGTAACAGTAAAGCTACAAAAATAGGGTGTTTAAATTTGGGGCATAGAATAAAATTTCCTGTTCTACAATGATCCCTGTAAACTGAGCTTTAGATACAAATGAGGCTAGCAATTGCTTAGACTAGTGGTCGGCAAACTGCGGCTTGGCAAACCGCGGCTCGCGAGCCACATGCAGCTCTTTGGCCCCTTGAGTGTGGCTCTTCTACAAAATACCAGCTCTTCCACAAAATACCGACTTGGCTCGCGAGCCGCGGTTTGCCAACCACGGGCTTAGACCATGTTTGTATCTGCTTTATTTTTATTTCCAGCAGCATACTGTCTCAGAATATTAATCTCTGTACTTTTATTTTTTCATACTTATATTTTGCAAACTTTCCCTAGTGAGTCAGTGACACCTTCACTTCCTCAAGGAGAATTACCACTGCTTTAGTAGGAAGGCAAAAGAAAGAAATGTTTAGTGCTCAATATTTTGACTTCCAAAAGAGAATCTCAAAGTCCACATCAGAAATACTAGCTTTGACCAAGTGCCCATAAGTAGATTAGATTTAAAAACCCCCACAAAAAACAACTGGTACATATACACATTGCAATACTACTCGGCAGTGGAAAAAAAGGAAATCTTACCTTTCGCAACAGCATTTGATAGACCTGGAGAGTGTTATGCTAAGCGAAATAAGCCAGTCAGAGAAAGACAAGTACCATATGATTTCACTTATATGTGGAATCTAATGAACAAAAGAAACAAACAAAATAGAAACAGACTCATAGATGAAGAGAACAGAATGACAGCTGTGGGGGGAGGGTGCGGTTGGGGGCTGCGTGAAAAAGGTGAAGGGATTAAGCAAAAACAATAAATAAACAAAACAAAATTTATAGACACAGGCCACATTATGGTGATTACAGAGGGAAAGGGGGTGGGGGGAGGTAGATGAGGGTATAAAGGGGATAAATGGTGATGGAAAGAGACTTGAATTTGGATGGTGAACACACAATGCAATATACAGGTGATGTATTATAAAACTGTACACCTGCAATGTGTATAATTTTATTAATCAATGTCACCACAATATATTCAATTAAAAGAAAAAATTTTAGTGGTTTCCCTAAAGTTTGCAATTAACATTTATAAGTAATCCAAGTCCATTTTTAAAGAGCCCTATACTACTTCATGTGCAGTGTGTTTCCTACATTAACAAAATAATTCTAATTTCTCCCTTTAATCCCTTGTACCATTGCTGTTATTTACAATATTTTACTAATATATAAACATACACAAGTATATATATGCATATACATGTATGTATGTTTATGTATATATATGTGTGTATATGTATGTATACATATATGTATATATACACACATAAGCATGCATAATGTGATACATTGTTGCTATTATTCTTTTGAACAGATTTATCTATTAGATCAATTAAATGCTATGGGGATACTAATTAAAATTTATCCATTGATATTTTAAGAATAATTATTGATTTGCACAGATTTTCCAATGAAGGAAATATATTTGAAATACAACTATGGGTACAAAGAAAACTGAAGATCAAACAGGTCAGTCTTGTGTACCATATTTTTGTAATTAAGACATTCCATTACTGAATGCACACACTGGGTTGGTTAATGACTCTAATCTCAGTTTTGCTCATTAGTAAAAGGAAAATAGTTTAGAAAAAAAAACACAAATAGAAAAGACATATGCAAAATGACCACACAACATTCTAATCTCTAGTAGATAACTAAAGATTGCTTTAACATCCTTGCTAATATTCATTGTGGGAAGGAATCAAGCTTTACAAAATATTTTATGAAAATAAACACACTTCTTTCACATATATAAGACCATAGAATTTCCTCCCTGATTTAATTTCCCATTATTTCTCCCTCAGCCAAAAACGAACAGACCCATTTTGTATGGTCAAACTATTTTATTTTTGGTGGGTTGAGAAAAGATTGTTTATATTCTGTAATCTAAGCATTGTCAGCAGTTTCAGGAGTCCCATTTTGAGTTTTCATATATCTGTACATTTTTCAATCACCATTGCTCCCTCCTGTCACTGTATTCCTTGAAGGATGTGAGGCAGTTACAGAAGCTACAGAATTAAATGGTACACATACTCCTTTCTCAAACCCTTTGAGGAGGAAGGGGAGGAAAAGCCTGGTGCAGGTAACTATTATAACTTTGCCCTTTATGGTTCTCTTTTAGATTATTTGTTAAAAATATTAAATTTTCATGTGCTCTGCAGAGCCTAGCATGGTTTATAAGATGAAAAGAAAAGAAATGTTATTAACTGCTGCACTGCCAAGGGATAGTCATTACCTGCCTGTGTGCATTAGAGGAATTCTTAGTCATTTGGGTTGCAACTGTCTTGAACTGTAATGCTTTAGGATGTACCCTTGCTGTGGTTTCAATGCCCATGTCCAAGGTCATGAAGATCACACGCTTTACTTTGTGCCTGCAGTTATCACATGGAGCAGTGAACACAGAGAATATTTGTGCAGCCTGCTTGGCTCAAATCTCTCTCTTTCTCTCCTTTTATATTAAACAAACTGGCCTGCTAGATTATTTTACACAGCTAATATGCCTGAATGAATGCCTTCCAATTTTTAAGGTGATTATTTAAAATTAAAAATATCATTAAGAGTCATTCTAGTGTGGACTTTCTTTGAATAAAGTGGATTATAGAGCAGCAGCGGGGATGTATGAATTGGGTAAGGAATTCAAATCCTTGCGAAGTGCTTATTGCTTTTCTGACACGGACACAGCAGCAGCCCTGTCTATGTCCGTCCAAGAGCTACCTGAACAAGCCCTTTTCATTAGTCACAGCATCTTCGGGAAGGACAGCCTGCTGCCAGGGTGTGGAGGACCATGCACCACTAGAAGCATAGAAATGTCTCTATCAAGTCAGATAAGCATCCTTGCAAACGCTCAGAGCACTTTGAAAAACTCCTGTATGACAGATTACAAATGTGTATTACTACTAAGCCCATCACTCAACCCCCAAAATATATAGCCCTGCAAAGGTAATTCCTGGTGACTTTATAGCTCAGTTATTTTGCCTTTTAAAGCAGGTTATCATCTCTGGGGTTTTAAAATGTCAATGTCTCTGCAGGGTCTTTCTGTTCTAAACAGGGATAGGTAGAAGAACATTTTACCATCTGTCTTTTAAAGTTAATATTAAGAAATACAGGTTTGCAACCACTCAAGCATCTCAAGTCAGATACGCTACCTCCTGGAATGGATTATCTCATTTGACTTACCTGGTGTTAACTGCATTCCAAAAGAAGAAGGATGCTGGTTTTAGAGATTTAAAAACTACATCATTTCAAGAGTAAAGGCATTTGTGTTAGAAATATAAAGTCAACCTACATGCTCAAAAACAAGTATACACATACCTAAGAACAGCGCAAAATAAAGAAACCTAATGAAAAAGCAAGTATTATAAGTCTTTCGTAGACTATTTTAGAATAAAGTGTTCATTTTTTAATCTAAATAATAAATTATATGCCTCTGGTAACAACTGTACTCAGTTAAAACCCATTCATTGTTCGAATTATTTCATTGCTATTTGGGCCCAATCAGGAAAATCTTTACCAGAGCAATAAGCAAACTAAGGGAATTAATCTTCAAGATTTTATCTCTAAAAAAAATTCCTATTCTGCTTCAGAAAGCCCTCATCAGTCAACATTTTAAAAGTCGACAGCATTGGTCACTATAATAATCAATATTTCACATTAGTTTTTCTTAAAAATAAAAATACATTTTGTGACACACTAAAGCATATCTTCCATGGTAGAAATGCAGAGAAATAGATGAGGACACCTTTCAGTTGACCTTCATTCGAGGCACATCTAAGTGACAAGAGCAGGGTGAGACTCTGCCTTACTTAGGAAGAGACTTAGTAACACATTATTGATGATGCTGGCAAATCAGATGGCAAATTACCTTTGAGAGGTCCCCGGCCTCCAGGTAGAAGCAGATAACAAACACATTCCACGTAACCCAGAGGACTAGCCAGACAGCATACTGTGGGAAAGCGAGAGAGAAACAACATATAATTAATTTTGAATCGGCTGAGTAAGATTTAAATAGAACTTGAACTTTTGAACGCAAGTCTTAAGATTAGTGGGAAATATTAGATATTGCTTCTTTCTAGGGAACAGGATGAGATGCACATTTATCTCTGTTGGTATGTTTCTCACTGTTATGGACTCTAGTATTATAACTCAAACTTGCTTAAGGATACTTTTTAAGATTTAAAACAAAAGAAATACTAGCCCACATTCTGTTTTAAGGGGCAATGATTATGACTTCTAGATATCTAAAGAACTGGATGCTCCAAAGAAGTATTAAATACAAACCATCAAAGGGAACTCATAGCCCTAATCGGTTTGGCTCAGTGGATAGAGTGTCGGCCTGCGGACTGAAGGGTCCCAGGTTTGATTCCGGTCAAGGGCATGTACCTTGGTTGCGGGCACATCCCCAGTTGGGGGTGTGCATGAGGCAGCTGATCGATGTTTCTCTCTCATCGATGCTTCTAACTCTCTATCCCTCTCCCTTCCTCTCTGTAAAAAAAAAAAAATCAATAAAATATATATTTTAAAATAGGGGGACTCATATTTTTCTTTGGCAAAAAATCAAACCATTATAATACAAATTTTCTCCAAATTATTTGGGTTCATCCACAAATAGTCCTTCTATTTCTGTCCCATCTAATCAGCTTTCTCTTTCTGTGGTCTTCTTTTCATTTCCCTCTTTACCTTCTTATTTTATCCTCTCACAATCTCCTGTTACAGTGACTATGTAGCTATTATCCTTAATTTTATTCTGTTTTCTATTTATTTTGTCTTCTTCCCTGAGGATGAAGTTTTCTTACCATGACATAATGCTGATCAGTCAGTCAACTACAATTGTTTAAGTATCTGGAAAATAACATGCTGGAAAGATATTGAGGAGTCAAAGACCAATGATAAATTCTCCCTGAAAGCAAGTCAAGTGGTAAGGGTAGATTTAAAAAAAAAAAAAGATGCTTATTATACAAAAATCATTAAAATAATCTGAGCACAAGCAAGGAAGATGGGAGAAGTGTAAACTTATTCTGAGAAAAACTAGTCCTACAAAGCTTAACAGAAGAGGTGAAACACCTTCCATAAGAAGTGAATCAAACAAACATATAAACTTAACCAAAAATCATCGGGGGTTGAAGGACTATGGTGGAAGGGTGCTGTAAACAAAGAAAACAGTGGATGGGAATTTTAAAAAGTGGGACGAGAGGATTTCATTTCTCTGATAAGTAAACACCAATGGCTCCCATCCTATCTAATAATAGACAAACATGGTAATTGACCATACCTTCGCTACGCCTCTCTTGGGCTAATCAGCGTGATATGCAAATTAACCCAACCAAGATGGCGGCCGGCAGCCATGCAGCTGAAGCAAGCAGGAGGCTTGCTTGCTCCAGTGATGGAGGAAGCCAAGGTTCCCCGCCTGCTGCGGCCTGGCTCTGAGCTCCGAAAGCAACAAAGTTTCAATTATAGAAGGTAAATAAATCCCAGAATAAAAAAAAGAAAAGAAAAAAAGGAGAGGCTGGGAGCTTCAGTTGCCGGCCAGCCTGAAAATGGCCCTCAGCCCCTCACCCAGACTGGCCAGGCACCCCACTGGGGACCCCCACCCTAAAGGGGGTGTGGCCAGCCTGAAAACAGCCATCAGCCCCTCATCCAGGCTGGCCAGGCACCCCAGTGGGGACCCGTACCCTAAAGGGGGTGTGGCCAGCCTGAAAACAGCCATCAGCCCCTCATCCAGGCTGGCCAGGCACCCCAGTGGGGACCCCCACCCTGAAGGGGGTGTGACCAGCTGCAAACACCCATCAGACCCTCACCCAGGCTGGCCAGGCACCCAAGCGGGAC